TGATCTGTTTGATCTAAAAACATTGTTGATCTGTTTGGTCTAAAATCATTGTTGATCTGTTTCGTCTAAAATCATTGTTGATCTGTTTGATCTAAAAACATTATTGATCTGTTTGGTCTAAAATAATTTTTGATCTGGTTGGTCTAAAATCATTGTTGATCTGTTAGATCTCGAATCATTGTTGATCTGTTAGATCTTGAATCATTGTTGATCTGCTTGGTCTAAAAATTACAGGATATATGAAAACAATTTGCATGCTACAACTAAGAACTCACCCACAGCTGGCGCTTCTTTATTTTCAACAGCATATTTTTGCTCCTTAGATGTGAGAGTTTTCTCTTTACTCTCTGCTTGGAATTCCACATCGCCATCTGTTTGCTCATCTGAAATATCAGCTTGAATGTTAGCATCCTTCTTGCCACCTTCCACATCAAGTTGCAAATCACTTGTAACAATTTTCCTGCCAAACTCTTCTAGCATTGGAATGTTACACATATTCTTATCATGACGAGTCCAGAATGTGGTTCTGTGAAGCTAAAATAAGAAATTTGCAACGTTAGAAATGAACAGACTGGCAGCAGTGTCTGTCAACTTCGTCCTTGTCAACATCCTCAAATTGTTTATATTTCTGGTATTTACATGCCAAAATAATCTCATGTTTGCAATTGTCAAGATAATACAACTTTGGTTATTATTCCTATACAATGTTACAGTACTATTAGAAAATGCTTACTCTTGATGTTCATTGGAAAATTCAAAGAATATCTATAGTTGAGTGCTTCTAGAATTTGATGGATCGATGGAGGCTGGATATATATCACATGATCTGTAGAGGTAACTTTGATTTAAAGCTTCTGATATTTTCCTAAATTTCTTCCAACTATTTTTGGTTCCACTATATAACCATGTTAAATCTGTTCACCTGTTCAAGCCAGTGTTCTCTTCAAATAAATATGGTATGAAAAACGTACTATTCTATTTTTTTTAGGAAAGTCAATATTAAATATTTGTTTAATGTATGACATGACCACATTGCCAACTGTAAGCCTCTATGGACACACAAACGAAACAAACAACACACTGTCAAATCGGGGAGAGAGATACATGGACCTCAAAGCACAAGCCAAGAGGTGATGTCAGGCGTTTCGAAAAGAGTGAGCACATCCTGCTCCACATGTGGCACCCGCCATATATCTCTCTGAGTTACAATCGTGAATTTTTAGGTCATCCCCGTGCAAGACAATTAACATTCAGCGCTTCTATTATCTGTTTCATAGAAACATGATACTTGTCCACCAGCTGATAATACTTGCCATAGAACTTTTTGAATGACAAGATCAGTCTTTCTTTTATAAACCCTTAAATGAATACCAAAACATTTATCTGGTGTCATGTGTTTTTTATGAGTTGCATGCGGGTGTTTTATTTCCTTTCTGTGATAATGTGTCATGTATGCACAAATATTCAGTAAAGTTATGTTTCCCATGTGGCAATAATTTTTGTTGGGTAGCTCGTACACCTTATTTTCTCCTAGTATGTTTCTGTGCTCCCTTCTTTGCTAACAACTCAACATTCTGCCGACATACAAAACAGATTCCCATTTCCAATTGTTGCATCCTTATACAATCTTTGTATCAACCAAAGAAAAAAAAACTTGAGCTGTCTCCAATAATATTATTTAGTAAAACTGCATTAGCGAGATTTTAAATGAAGAAGATCATGTAGTTATGTTCAAGAAAACAGGACTGAGGTTCATGTTTTGTTGCCACTGTTATGACGTGATGTGATCTTGATGTGTTGATGCCTCCATTGACAGTTGATTGAACAAACATTGTTGTTGCCAAAACATGGTCAGTACAGAACACATGAAACAGTCAACCATAAAATCCATACCTTATCTGGTTTAAGAGGAGGTGTTGCCAAGGAGACGACAATAGCTACTATAGTTGTCAGCCAGAACAATAAAATGGCAAAATACATATACTGGACATCAGCTAAAATGGATGGTCGAGTATCTTCTTCTCCGCATTGGCCTGGTGCACGGTAAATAAATGTCAAAATTAATCGTGTAAGTCCAGCAACAAGGGCCACCATTAATCCCCAGAAAGCCCCCTGCAATAAAAAATAGTTGTTTTTAATAAAAATAATTATAATATACAAGTCATCAAAATATATTTGAACTGTTCACAACAGATTTTAAGTAAAAAATAAATATTTGTTATTTTCCCCAGGTTCACCCTAGCCTCCTTTTACAAATTTTTAATGAAGACCTATAGGCAACAGAAAATTGTCAATTTAGTACAAAATTAAAACGAAATTAAAGAATAACATAAAAATGGACTAGCATTGGAAACAACAATGACATTCAAAATATGACCATATTTTCTCTATTTAAAGCATATATCTAATAGAATAAGCTAATATATTTATTATATATAGAGAGTCAATGAAATACAAATTTATTGTGACCAGACCTCTGTCATTTACATAAGCTCATACTGAAGAAGGAATTATCTTAATATTATTCTAAGGCTTGTTAAGTGTGGCTTAATTTAAATATAAAATATTATAACGAGATTTAAGTATAAAAAAAGCAAAGATTTAAATGTATTTGGGTTTAGAAATTAAATGTAATAGTGCCCTCCCATGTGTCTGGTTAAATGTGGTTTGGACCATTGATGGCGCTATTTAATCCACAATGCTTTGCATACAGAAAGCCATGAGTTTCTCACTTTTCTTTTGATATTAATATGTATGTGTATGGGGGGTTTGAAATACTTATATTGTCTGCACTTGTTGTTCACTCTTGATATGTTACCATGCAGTGTTAACACTATCATTACATCATTCTATAAATAGTAAGTTAAAATTTGAATTTTATGAAAATTAGTTTTTCTTTCTTAGTCTTTCCTTTCTAGCTCATTCTTGTTTTGATCATTTTCAAACCAATTTTAACACAAGCAGCCTGTCAGCTGATGTAGTTCAGTATAATGAGAAAAATGATCAAATTAATCAGTCTAGCCATTTTGAAGATAACAAAAATACTGGTATTCAATAGAATGTGAAAATATTAGTTATCGACACTAAATGAACTAATCTGATAGAAGAAGGAATCAAATCAATCTGATCTATCTAAGGCACCTACATATCAAATCAGAACAATTGGTTGACAGTTTTCATAACGACGTCAGAAATTTCCAAAAAAATGAAAAAATAATCACTAAAATAAGAGAACTAAATTTATTAACAAGAAAATCAACAAATCTGAGAAGTCAACTCAAAGCACCAACATACATGTATTAAAAAAATCAAAAGCAATCTGACAAGCCGTTTGCAATAAGAAGTCAAAAATAGCATTTTTACCAAAATTGAGTAAAATTAGTAAATATCTTCACAAACGGATTGAATCTGACTGAGGCTCACCTAAATTGTCTATATATAAAATATCAATTGAAAGCAAAATGGAATACTATTCTGAAATTCTGTGTGATTTTTGATGTTCATTCCATTTCAGTCCTATGCTAAATTGTTTTTATGTGTGATGTAAACAAAAAAGGGAGACAATTAATCTAACATATTTGTATCATTTTTCAACATGTCCTACAGCCTAATGAATTACTGTTGATCATCAAATGATTTGCTTTGCTGAATTATTGACTCAAAATAACTAAAACTAGTGAATTTCCTGATATATTGCTAATGAATGAGTATATTTGAATCTGTGATGGTAAATTTGTAAACAATTTGCAATATGCATATATCTATACAACTACATGTAGGATATCATTATTTCATCTCGCTTATTCTATTCTTCATCAAAAACAGTAAAATATGAGTCGGAATATAATTTCATTGTCAATACATGTATCAATAATGATTAAATAGGTTTATACAAAAGTTTCCAGATTCAGAGTTGCACTATATTTGCAGCTGTTTTATCTTTACCAAAGTCCAAAATATTACACAAACGCCAAAAGCATGGTGTGGATCGAATACCACAAAATATTGTCCCCGGTAAAATGATAGGTTGCAACAGATATTGAAGCAGCTAATACAACATACTGTAAAATCTGTATTAGAAACCGCGGCTTCTATTAAAATGGTACAATGCGACAGAGGGAATGCGGCTTCTATTAGAGCATCTACACATATGAGAAATGATGAATTTTTGCTTCTCAAACATTCAAAAAGAATGGGTGCGACTTCTATTAGGGATGCGGCTTCTAATACAGATTTTACGGTACATGTTATTTGCATTTACTGAGTAGAGCCATAAACTTTTCATTTCCAAGCATCCATGGCATACTGTTATGC